GATGGTCCAGAGCAAAGCTTTGTTGACATGTTTATTAAGAGTTTTGTAAGGAGAAGATTTTCTGGGCATGTGCAACCCAACTTCCCCATTAAAGCCACAGCTCCTCAACAGCAGGGAATTCACCTGTTGCTTGTTGCATCTTTAGTGCATATGATAATGACTAGTGTACATTCGGGGCTCTAAAGATGTTGTTCAGTAAGTGACTGCGAAGTAGTCATGGAGTACCACTGTGTGCCAAGCATGGTGCTACAGGTGTTTTGTTCATTTGGTGACCTAATGGATATTCTTTTATTGTTTTGACAAACATTTCAAGTAATTTGTACCACGTGGCCTTGTTGGTTGCATTATGTAAGTTGAAGCAGTATTCTGCGAGGTAGGATCTTGTACCCTAGGGGGTACACAACAAACTGATCCATTGGGTTTTGGAAAGAAAATATTAGAGAGAGACAGGGACAGAGGGGAGGCACAAATATGTTTTTTTAAAGGTCCTGTGATATAGTCTGGCTTATTTTGAGTAGAAATGTCAGACACAGTACTTAACGATTCTCTTCATCCATAAACCTCTGTGGCTGTTGGGAGAGTCAGAATGAGTCTATGATAAAATACTGCATTCTCAACACGAAAAGTTCTTCAAAGGAGAAGGTGTATCTAATGGTATTTAAAGTAAAACATCTTGGGAGAAGGGAAAAATAGGATCTACTTTAAACTTTACCAAAATGTAATCACCTCTAGACTATTCAGTACAGTTTAGATGGTCTTCGTTGCTGCTGTTTTTAACCTAAAGCCTTGCCACAGGCACTGAGATTATTGGTGGGCCAGGTTTCTCTGTTATTTGGTCAGCAGTTAACCTGCATGTTTTTGGTAGTTTAATAGCACTTAAGGATCACACAGTGGGACCAACAGATAAAAATCACTGGGATTTTAGACCTTGTTCTGTCGTCCACATCTCTAAACTTTTTCATCATTTCTGTGTCTTTGCCTGTCCCCCTCTCTGGGCTGCATTCTAGGTAGCTTCTTCTAATCTAGATTCCAATTCTTTTGTAAGCTGTGAGTATGCAGGATTCTGTATTACTTGTCTTTTGAATTTCTGATGTCAGTGATCATAACTGTCATTTCTAGAACTTGTGTGGTTCTTTTCATATTATTTGTGGTCATATATGATGATTTCCCTCATTTCCTTCTCTTCTCTTGGGTTTCGTTCAGGTACAGGGAGGTTGCATTCTTGGCCCAAACCCACGTGGTTAGGTGTTCTCCAAGAAGACTTTTTTCTTTTTTGTTTTTGTTTTTGTTTTAGATAGAGTCTTTCTCTGTCACCCACGCTGAAGTGCAGTGGCGCGATCTCGGTTCATTGCAGCCTCCGCCTCCCAGGTTCAAGGGATTCTCATGCCTCAGCCTTCTGAGTAGCTGGGACCACAGGTGCACACCACCATGCCTGGCCATATTTTGTCTTTTTTAGTAGAGACGGAGTTTCACCATGTTGACCAGGCTGGTCTCGAACTCCTGACCTCAAGTGATCCACCTGCCTCCACCTTTGAAAGTGCTGGGATTGCAGGCATGAGCCACTGCGCCTGGCCAAGACTTTTTTCTTTTGTTCTATTTCACTGAGGACTTAATCCAAGATAGACAGCATCTGCATCTTCCCTGTATGGATCAGGATTTTTCTGCTTGCCTTTCAGGAAGTCCAGATTTACACAAGGCTCTCAGAACAGTTGTACTGTCAGTATTATCTCAGGCTTCTCTCCATCTCCAGGTCACCGGGGACCAGTGGATGGTCAGGAGGCAAGCATGGACTCCAGCACTCACTTGCTGAGAGATTTTTTTCTCCTTTCTGACCTTAGAGACTCTTCTCTTTATTTTCCTAACGGTTCAATTATGTATTGTAAAACATGCTTTTACTACACTTGTATTAAAAAGGAAGAGAGAAAAATTTATATCTATGAATATGTACATATATAACTCATGTATACCATAAATATGTGTATGTATTTTGACTTGTATATGCATTTTTAAAACCTCTGGAAGGACAAGAAACTAGTAATGCTAGGGAAGCAGTAATGGAAACAGGCAGATGAGGGGGTAGTGGTGGCAGATTTCTTTTATCAGACCCTCTTAATATTTTTAGTGATTTGAGCCATATCAGTATATTACCAGTTCAGGGGCTGAACGTGGTGGCTTATGCCTGTAATCCCAGCACTTTAAGAAGCCAAGACAGGAGGATTCTTTGAGCCCAGGAGTTCAAGACCAGCCTGGGCAATATAGTGAGACCCCATCTCCATAAAAAAAAATTTAAAAATTAGCCTGGTTTGGTGGCGTGTACCTGTCATCCTAGCTACTGGGGAGGCTGAAGTGGCAGGATCGCTTGAGCCCGGAAGATGTAGATAATTATACCACTGCATGCCAGCTTGAGCAACAGAGCAAGACCCCGTCTCTCTCATATATATATATATATATATATATCTCCTTTTCAATCAATTAATTGTGTAATATAAACTTTTTCCCCAGCAGTCTAGATGTTCTTTACCCGGTAGGTTTCAGGCATCTAGTCTGCTATTTTGTTAGAAATAGAATAGTGATTACTTTTGTGGTTATATGCATTTTAGATCATGGTTTTGCCCATCTGGTCCTCTAGATGAACTCTGTAGATCAATATTTTCCAAACTATCTATGGCAAAGCAGTTGTTCTTTAAAATTTTTCCAATCTGGCTGGGTGTAGTGGCTCACATCTGTAATCCCAGCACTTTGGGAGGCTGAGGCGGGCAGATCACGTAGGATCAGGAGCTCGAGACCAACCTGGCCAACATGGTGAAACCCTGTCTCTACTGAAAATACAAAAAGTTAGCTGGACATGGTGGTACATACCTGGAATCTCAGCTACTCGGGAGGCTGAGGCAGGAGAATCACTTGAACCCGGGAGGTGAAGGTTGCAGTAGCTGAGATCGCACCACTGCGCTTCAGCCTGGATGGCAGAGCAAAACTCTGTCTTTAAAAAAAAAAAAAAAATTTCCAATCTGCCATGAGCCAGTACTTTGGTAACTACAATAAAAATAAATTGCTGATCACATGCTTGATGTCATGGCAATGTTAAATTGCTATACAAGTTTCTAAAAGGTTTCACTTAATTGTTTCTCACTTGCAAACCAGTAAAAAGCAACTACTGGATCAGACCACACTTTGAGTAGCACTGCGATAGATGGTGCTCCAGTGTTTTCTGTTACTTGGTGTATCAGAAATTGATTCCACCCTGTTCTAGAAATTTCTTGTTGATTTTTAAGTTTTTCCATTGTAAACCTGGTGTGTGTGGGCGTGCATTTGTTCATGTGTGTATAAAACTGTTTGTATGGCTTTATCTGAAACATTAGATATTTGCTACAGCACACACTTGCCTTAGTTAGAGACCAAAACCCATGGCTAACTGGTCTGGGTAGTGGTACTGGTGTCCCTCCAAAAGTCACTCCCAGTTTAATAGTGGATTTTATCAAATCAAGATGTGTTGATGCAAGTATTTTTTGATCATCTGAAAGTTCTCATTGGTTGATTTTCACAGTAAGTCAGAGCTGCCATCTGGCTGGCAGCAATTGTAAGGTACCATTGATGTCAGAGATGTTAAAATGTGGAAGAACATGTGTCTTAGAATATCTTGCAGATGGACCCATGATTGTTCTAGTGTCTAATTACTGTCGAATGCTTGGAGACTTGTTTATGAGAAGTACTCGTCATGTATTTATGAGAAGTAGGAGGAAGCCTTCAGTGGCTTCCTTTAGAAACCACCACTATACTGAATGGCATCTTGTTGCGACAGCCTGATGTTAACTGGGGCATGTTGTCTGTTCTCCAGCATTGCTGCTTTCTTTTCTTTGAGACAGAGTCTCACTGTGTTGCCCATGCTGGAGTGCAGCGGCGCAATCTTGGCTCACTGCAACCTCCACCCCCTGGGTTCAAGCGATTCTTCTGCCTCAGCTTCCCGAGTAGCTGGGATGATAGGCACCCACCATCACGCCCAGCTTTTTTTTTTTTTTTTTAAGTAGAGATGGGGTTTCACTGTGTTGGCCAGACTGGTCTCGAACTCCTGACCTCAAGTGATCCACCCACCTTGGCCTCCCAAAGTGCTGGGATTACAGGCGTGAGCCACCGCACCTGGCGTTGCTTTTCTCATTAGGAGCCTTGCTGTGCTGCAGCATCCTTGCAATGGACCAGCAGTGAGAATGTTGGCCATTTGGCCACTTATCTGTGAACCGGTGGCACGGGTATATCTTCCAGTGTCATTAATAGACATTTTTCTCATCATTTAGTTTTTTTTCTTTCTTTCAGTTTCCTTCTGTTCTACCCCTGCCATTCTGACCTTATTAATATTGGGAGTTCCAGTTGTCCCATTATCTTGCTTGCCGTGCACACTGCTTGATACTTCTTTTAACTGTATTATCTCCCTGCAAAGAAATTTATCAGAAAGTTCTGGTTATCCTTTCATAATTTTCTGCTGCAGACGGGGTTTTATTTTACCTGTTTTTATAGTTCTGTGGCCACTTCGATGGCAATTTAAGAGGAAGAGGAGTTAATCTTTGGGCTAACACTGCCATTCGTTTCTTCACCATGTATTTTATTGAAATGTCTGCACTGTGCCTGGCGTAGTTCTGTGAGTACAGCAATAGTCAGAGAGTACATCATGGGTATTCAATCTTTTGGCTTCCCTGGGTCACACTGGAAGAAGAGTAATTGCCTTGGATCATATATAAAATACACTAACACTAACCATAGCTGATGAGCTTTCAAAAATCACAAAAATCTCACAATGTTTGAAGAAAGTTTATGAATTTGTGTTGGGCCACATTCAAAGTCATGCTTACCTGGTGCTACTTCCCTTCATGTTTAGATCTTCTTTTAGAAAGATGTCAACTTTTAAAAATCTTAACTTAGAATTTAGTGATTTATTGATAGCTTGTAAGTGCTTTGATTTGACACGAATGTATTCTATAGAAATAATTTTTGTATCATTTGCTTTTTAGCCGATTACACCTCAACAAGAAGGCAACTGACAAACAGCCTTATAGCAAGCTCCCAGGTGTCTCTCTTCTGAAACCACTGAAAGGAGTAGATCCTAACTTAATAAACAACCTGGAAACATTCTTTGAATTGGATTATCCCAAAGTAAGTACAGTGTTATGGTTTTTTGTTTTGTTTTGTTCCCCTCATGATGAACCTTTAGTGATTTTAATACTGTAAAAGGTGAAGGTATTAAAAATTCATGATGAGGTTGGCCTCATAAAATATAAGCTTTAGTAGTAGTCATCACAGAACAGAAATGTAATGAGGAAGGGGTATAAATTCCCTTTCTAACCACCTGTATGTCCGTGTGAAGTAGAGATCCCTGAGTAAACCTGAAACTCAGACAATGTCAAGTGCCTGGTAGTTTGAAAATAAAAATTTTCTTCCATGAGAGTTGGATGTGAACAATAGGAAGAGGAGACAAGGAGAGGGAGAAAGCAATGTTAGTGGTCTGAAATGGGTTGCAGTATAGCTAGAACGCAACATGACTTCCCTGGAGAAACTGGCTTTGAGCCGAGAGTAGATTACAATTAGTGGTAAGGTAGGGTTTCATCTTACCTCATTTTTAATTTCCTTACTGTTCTGATTTTAATAGCTAATTGTATTGCTTATGCCATTTGTCTTTATAATCTGTATATCTATAAACTCAGTGTACTCCCTTAATTGGAGAACTTCCGGTTTTCTTGAGATGAAAGTATTTTTTTTTATCACTTTGCTTTAGTAGTCCACCTGTAGTTTCTTAGAAGAACTTAATATTCTTTGATTTTCGTACTTAGCTTTACAGCAGCTTTGTATTAAATTGCTTATTTGAGACACTGCTTTTGAAAGGTCATTTTAGTGGTAACAGATCAGTTTGTGGGAAGAATGTGTCTTTAAGCTTCTACCCACTTGACTCTCAGTACGGTTTAATTTTCCCTTTGCAGTCTCTATTCACTTGCCTCAGTTTTTACCCTATTGCCTCAGTTTTTCCATAGCTATTTTTGCTACTGGGGAGTCATCCCTCTTAATTTTTTTGGACAGGGTAGCTCAAATAGTCAGAAGGAAGATGATATGCACACTACACTTCTCATGGTGACTGGTTTTCATGCTCTTATTTCTTTTCTTTTAGCCTTTATTTTTCTCGGTAGCACCAATGAAAAGAATAGAGAAGACACAGATGTGATAGCCTTAATGCAGCACTTATTAAGTAGGTAGACATGAGTATCATTCAGTTATATTTTTAGTGTTTTTATATTACTGCTTTGGAGTTTGGGAGTTTAGAAGCCAATTTTGGAGTATTGAAAGCTGTTTTGAAGCAAAAAAATTGTATGTTCTAGCTTGTGTTTATATGTTTAATAATTTTAGAAATTTGAATTAAATGTGTTAACGTCAATCAATTAAATACATAGTTTTTTAAAAAATAAGATATAATTGTATATACTTGTTTTTTCAGACTAAAAAATGTGAAACTTAGCCTTTTGTAATTCAGAAAGAAGGATATAAATAAAATTAATTGTAAAATAAGCTTTGCAGTGAGAAAACTGAAAGATTTTCAAGCTCTGTAAAAGTAAATGCAAAGGAGAATTAATGTTTATGAATGAAAGAAATTTTTTATTGATTATGAATGAATCTTAGAGCATAGCTTAGAGTCTTGTGCATTATCATTGTGAAGCTTAATCTCGCATTTCAGTTTTTAACGGTCCTCTTTCATTTTCCGCATTCAACCACTCTTAAAATTGGTTATGGAATTTTTATGTTGTGGTGCTTGTGAGACAATAGTCATGGGATTTAAATGCTTGAGGAAATTAGTGAGGGGTTTAGTTGTATAAATATATATATATATTTTTAAGACAGTATCTTGCTTTGTCACCTAGGCTGAAGCATAGTAGCACAGTCATGACTCACTGCAGCCTCGGCCTCCCAGGCTCAAGCAGTCCTCCCACCTCACCCTCCCTAGTAGCTGGGACTATGGGCATGTGCTACCACACCTGGCTAATTTTTGTATTTTTTGTAGAGGGTGTTGCCATGTTGCTGGGGTTGGTCTTGAACTCCTGGGCTCAAGCAATCTCCCCACCTCAGCCTCCTAAAGTGCTGGGATTACAAACGTGAGCCACCATGTCGTACTGAAAGAATTTTTAAAAGTAGCCCCAGGGATATATGTATCCTTTGATTATGAACATTTCTAATGAGTCCATAACTGATTTATTGTGAACGAAGATTTTGGTCAGGCGTGGTGGCTTGTGCTTGTAAATCCCAGCACTTTGGGAGGCTGAGGTGGGAGGATTGCTTGAGGCCAGGTGTTCAAGACCAGCCTGGGCAACCCCACCTTCAAAAAAAATAAAAATTAAAAAATTGAAATAAAAACATTTTTTGGAAATTACAGTTTAGAATGATCTCAAGAGCTCTTGTTTTCACTTAGCGTAGTAGTTCTTTTTCCATTTAGTTATATCATTTAAGTGGGTTGAGGAGAAAGCTATTTTGACATTCATTGTAAAATGAATAATAGTATCTGCAGATTATTTTATTCTTTGTTGGTACATAATTTTGTTTTCTAATTATAAAAGTATATTTAGCTGTATAAATAGAACATTTGGAAAGCAGAAAAGTGCAAAGTACCTGCAATCTAAGGGAAATGTTTGATCTCACAGCATTTTATTTACTTTGTAAAAACCAAATACAATGACAAATGTTCCACAGGAGACTAAAGTTAAACCACTGAAATCACGCATATCTGAGTGTGAACAGACAAGGCATTTGTGTCACCACGAAGTCAAGGAGACACAAAATAAACATTTACGTGACTGCCAGGTGCAGTGTCCTTTCATATTTGCATTTTGCCTGGTATGAACATCGTTTTACCAGAGTATGGAAATGTTTTCATTTTGGACATAACTTTCTCTTCTCGTATTCAGTTGGGACCATCAGAGGCCATTTGGGGGAAATAATAGAACATATGTTGGAGTTTTAAAATTTTATTTGATTTTGGACATGTGCAAGAAAATTTGCTACTACTGGTACTTGCTCTGAATTTCTAGGTTTCAATTTTTGTAAGACTATACTAGTTGCCCTGAAAGATCTCTGTGCTGTATACATCTTACAGATCTACTTTTGTACTGATACTCATTCCTTGGGAAGACATAAAAGAATGAAAAGGCGATGCAGTTCATTTTCCACAACATTGAACATTCATTTGTCACCAGCATAGAAAGGATTTGGGGAGAGATTAAGCAGTAGCAGGAGTAGTCAGTAATCTGCATCTAAAGGGGCTTGATGGCTTTACTTCAGTACATTCTGGCCATGTGAAGAATACCTAAATTAACTATCAGAGTTATTAACAGAGTGAACCTATCATAACTATGATTTTTTTTTCTTTTTTGCAATTATAGAATTAATTTATTTATTTATTTTTCCTTTTGAAGCAGAGTCTTGCTCTGCCACCCAGGCTGGAGTACAGTGCCACAATCTTGGCTCACTGCAACCTCCACCTCCTGGGTTCAAGCGATTCTCCTGTGTCAGCCTCCCGAGTAGCTGGGATTACAGGCGCATGCCACTACCCCTGGCTAATTTTTGTATTTTTATTAGAGAGAGGATTTCATCGTGTTGGCCAGTCTGGTCTTGAATTCCTGACCTCAGTTGATCCACCCACCTCAGCCTCCTAAAGTGCTGGGATTGCAGGTGTGAGCCACCATGCCTGGCCTGATTTAACAATTTTAATACAGGGATTCTTAGCAAATAAAATATCTGATCAAATTGTGAAGACACAGAGCTGATAGCTGAAAAACGATTCCTGGTTAAAAGCTGATACTTTAGAAAATACTTGGAATGCTGCTTCCAATTTGGTGTAATTTCCAATATGAAAAACAAATGAATCTTACGTATTTGAGTCTGAACTTTTTTTTGGATAATATGAATATGAGTCTCTTTTATGCTCTGGCTAATCAGAAAGTATTTGTTTTTAATTAAAAATTGTGTTTAAGCACTGTAATCAATAAAAATTAAAACTTTTAACCTTGCATCTGAATAAAGGCAGACTGTACCTCCCTTACTTATGACCTCCCTACTTAACACTAGTATAACATTTTTCTTCCCATTGAGTATATATCTAGTACTATATTTTTACAAAGTTTTCTCTTGCTGGGGAAAATAAAAGCTAAGATTAGTTTTTTATTGTACTTTATGGAATTGTATTACTTATAAACATTTCCTTTCATCATATGCAGTCATACTTACAAAATAGAATTAAAAAGGCATTAAAGGCTAGGCATAGTGGCTCATGCCTATAATACCAGCATGTTGGGAGGCTGAGGTGGGCAGATCACTTGAGCCCAAGCATTCAAGACCAGCTCGTCGTCTGTACTAAAAATACAAAAATTAGCCAGGTATGGTGGTGCACACCTGTAGTCCCAGCAGTTACTAGGGAGGCTGAGGTGGGAGGATTGCTTGAGCCTGGGAAGTTGAGGCTATAGTGAGCCAAGATCACACCACTGCACTCCAGCCTGGGTGACAGTGAAAGACATTGTCTCAAAAAAAAAAAGCATTAAAGAAACTATGCTATGTTTGGGAAAACAAGGAACTCTTTAGAGCAAGCCTTGCTGAGCAGCCTCCTATAGTAGGAAAGCTCATTGTTACTTTTGTCCTTTGAAAAGTCACTTAACCTCTCTAATCATTATTGTGAAGGTTGTTGCTTTTTTGGTGGCTCAACCAAACATTGTTTTGTGAGTCTGAATGGGAGGCTGGCTGACACTTTCGTGACTTAGAGTCAGCTCTTAAGGAAATTTCAGGAGGATGGTAGAAGTAGGGCCCTTTCCATTTTCAGATTTTATCTGGTTTCAGTACCTCTTGCGTGGCAAGTTTGGTCAGTCATTAGAGGTGGATATTGGATAGAATAGATAATAATAGCAGTAGGTAGGTAGAAAGTACGAGGAGAATATACATTGTTTTCCCCATCGACTTAATTATTAAAACATGTTTTTTTTTTTTTTTTTTGAATTACCTTGCCAGCTATCCCCCCCCCCCCCCCCCCCCCCCCCCCCCCCCCCCCCCCCCCCCCCCTATTTTTTTTTTTTTTTTTTTTTTCCTTTGATCGTACTAATTATTAAAACATGTTTTTCATTTGAAAAAAAAGTCTTGCTAGCTAAACCTTCTTCGTTAACTTTAGTCTTGGTTCTTTTGTGATCAACTGCAAATTTATTTTATTTTTATTTTTATTTTTTTTCCCCAAGACAGTTTCACTCTTGCTGCCCAGGCTGGAGTACAATGGCTCGATCTCAGCTCACTGCAACCTCCCTCCGCCTCCCAGGTTCAGGCAATTCTCCTGCCTCAGCTTCCCAAGTAGCTGGGATTACAGGCGTATGCCACCACACCTGGCTAATTATTGCATTTTTAGTAGAGATGGGGTTTCACCATGTTGGTCAGGCTGGCCTCGGAACTCCTGACCTCAGGTGATCCACCCGCCCTGGCCTCCCAAAGTGCTGGAGTTACAGGCATGAGCCACCATGCCTGGCCCACAAATTTTTTTATTGACAATTTTTGCTGAGATTATAGGTAGTGGGCAAACAATTGTTATTATGCTCACAAGCACTATAAACATTTTATTTCTACTTTTTACTTGTGTGTGCTTATCAGTGAAAGTAAATATAACAGACTTTGTCATTCTCTTGAGTTAGTTAGCTTTGTTATGCTTTCAGGGACATAATTAACCTCCTTTCTGTGCTTAAAAATGTTCAACCAGTTTTATGTTGTCGTCTTTTTGTTTTGTTTCTTGAGATTGTGTCGCACGCTGTCACCCAGGCTGGAGTGCAGTGGCGTGATCTGGGCTCACTGCAGCCTCCGCCTCCTGGGTTCAAGTGATTCTCCTGCCTCAGCCTCCCAAGTAGCTGGGATTACAGGCACGTGCCACTACACTTGGCTAATTTTTTGTATTTTTAGTAGAGACAGGGTTTCACCGTATTGCCCAGGCTGGTCTCAGAAACCTGACCTCAAGTGATCCACCAGCCTTGGCTTCCTGAGGTGCTGGGATTACAGGCATGAGCCACCGTGCCTGGCCATTCAAACAGTTTTAGAAAAGATTTGGTAGGAAATTTGTCATTGAGTCAACATGAATTTATTACCACTTCTGGGGGAAAAAAATAAAATCACTGCTTAGAATACATATCCTACAAATAATAGAGTAGTATTTTTGTATGTTAAGGACAAATACTTAAAAAATTTAGTTGTTGGCTGAGCGCGGAGGCTCACGCCTGTAATCCCAGCACTTTGGGAGGCAGAGGCAGGCAGATCACAAGGTCAGGAGTTCAAGACCAGCCTGGCCAATGAAACTCCGTCTCTACTAAAAATGCAAAAGTTAGCCAGACATGGTAGCGAGCGTCTGTAGTCCCAATTACTCCTACTCGGGAGGCTCAGGTAGGAGAATCGATTGAACCTGGGAGGCAGAGGTTGCAGTAAGCTGAGATCATGCCACTGCACTCCAGCCTGGGCGACAACGCAAGACTCCATCTCAAACAAAAAAAAAAAATTGTTAATGGAAATTTAGGGGTTCAGCTCAGGATTTTATAAATCTGGCTGCATGTCAAATCACCCCAGAGACTCAAAAGTCTAGAATAGGGTCCAATTCTCTTTTTAAAATAAATGCCCCAGGGTAATTTCTTTTTTTTATTTTTCTTTTTTCCTTTTTTTTTTTTTTTTTTTGCGACAGGGTCTCACTCTGTCTCCCAGGCTGAAACGTAGTGGCACAGTCTTTGGCTCACTGCAGCCTCAACCTCCTGGGCTCAAGCAGTCCTCCCACCTCAGCTTCCCAAGTAGCTGGGACCACAGGCATGCCTCACCGTGCCCAGCTAATTTTTAAAATGTTTTGTAGAGACATGGCCTCGCCTTTTTTCCCAGGCTGCTCTCGAACTCCTAGGCACAAGCAGTCTTCCCACCTTAACCTCCCAAAGTGCTGGGATTACAGGCATGAGCCACCTTGCCCAGCCCCAGGGTAATTTTGTCACAGCTAGGCAAGTGTTAAGAAATGCCTTTCTTAATTTACTGTTAAAAATCTAAACATAGCACTGGGCAAAATAAAGTTGTGGGTATTTTCTTAGTTACAAGACTAAACATTCATTTCAAGATAGTAAATGTCCATTCAAATCAAATTCTCTTTTGTTTCATAAAGTTATAAAACAAAAAGTGTAATCTTACTTTGTCCTTTTCATGTGATGAATTTGGAAGGGCCCTTTAAATTTATATAATTTGATTTTATATGAAATTTGTTGTACCTTCATGAAATAATATTAAGTGTAGAGACAAAGCTTCTACAGAGAGGGTGTGTTTATTTTGCTTCCTTTTAATGTCACTTTTTATTCTGCTAGGCACCCTGTGAGCAGTTAGTGAATCTTCAGTAGTGATGGCCATGGAGAAGCTTGAGATCCAGTTAATTCCTAGGAGATTGCTATCTGGGAATGGCAAGACTGCAGTTGTGGGCACTGCCAGTCTCTTCCTTATTTCTTCTGCTTGCAGATAGGCTCCTAATCAGGAGAAGCTTCATTCCATTAAAGCAACACTTGTTATCATAAGTGTTTGCATCCGTTGTGAATGCTGTCTTTTGAAACTTCGCGTAATACAATTGCTTGTTTATTCCTGTGCTTTTTGTTCAATCAATAAATGCTAGTAAGTGCTTTTTTGTTTTTTAAAGAATTTAACTTACATACAATGCTTTTTGACTAGTATGAAGTACTCCTTTGTGTACAAGATCATGATGATCCAGCCATTGATGTATGTAAGAAGCTTCTTGGAAAATATCCAAATGTTGATGCTAGATTGTTTATAGGTAAGTAAATTCTGTAGTAACCATTTTCCATTGCTAGTGTAAAGTATCAGTAATCTCTGCATTGAACTGAAGATTAAGGTGTTAGCCATGTTTGTTTTAAACATGTTTGGTGGAGTACTGAATATGTTTATGTCCTTTTGAGAAAAGTTATAAAAACAAAGTTTTTTCATATCTGAGATGAACAAAGTCACACAAAAAATAATATTTTTCCCATTAATCAGACATGAGGGTCTGTTATTTTTTGTTTCTTCAATATTTTAAATGTGTGGTGTTTTCTGTATCTTATTGACTGTAATTGGAGTGAATGATATAATTCACTTTTATTATATTACAAGAAGGGTATTTTTCCAAAAGCCTACAGACTTATTTTAAAGACTTATTAAGGTGTATTTGCCCTTAATTTTTTTTTTTTAACATAGAACTGATGTGATCTCTCTAGAAAACAAGTAAGTCATGTATAACGATACCAGATCATTGCTATTTGAAGATAGAGCAATGATTTAAATTTTTTATTAGCTTAAAATGCAATTTTGAAAATTAATGTAAGTGTAACACGCCTGCAGATTAATCAGGACCATTACAAATCTATCAACTCATGGTCAGAGACGCTCATTCTTCACATGTGCGATCTTAAACTATTTACTATCATATATTTATGGGGTTTCTTTGTTTTTTTTTTTTTTTTTTTAAAAGACGGATTGTTTGCTCTTACCACCCAGGCTGGAGTGCAATGGCGCAACTTCAGCTCACTGCAACCCCTTCCTCCTGGGTTCAAGCAGTTCTCCTGCTTCAGCCTCCTGAGCAGCTGGGATCACAGGCGTGCATCACCATGCCCAGCTAATTTTTTTCTATTTTTAGCAGAGACAAGGTTTCACCATGTCAGTCAGGCTGGTCTCGAACTGCTGACCTCAGGTGATCCACCTGCCTCAACCTCCCAAAGTGCTGGGATTATAGCCTCCCCAGTAACTGGGATTACACTCATGTGCCACCACACTCAGCTAATTTTTTTGTATTTTTAGTAGAGATGGGGTTTCGCCATGTCAAACTGATCTCGAATTCCTGACCTCAAGTGGCAGGTGATCCACCCCCTGTCGACCTCCCAAAGTGCTGGGATTACAGGCGTGAGCCCATGGTGCCCGGCCATGTGTATTTATATTTAATATGTCTTTATTAAATATCATCTCACTGTATTTATGAATTTATACTGTTTTAATTATAGCTTCAAAATGACACCTATAGCTTTTTTCCTTAGGATTATTTTTTAAATTGACAAATAAAATTTGTATATATTTTTGGTGTACGGCTTGATGTTTTGAAATATATATATACATTGTGGAATAGCTTATTAAGTTGATTAACATATGCATTTCTGCACATATTTATTCATGGTGGGAAATCTCTCTTAGCAGTTTTCAAGTAAACAACACATTGTTGTATACTTTCTCATGTACTTATACTGTATTTGTGGTGAGAGATCTACTCTCAGTCATTTTCAAGTATACCATACATTGTTGTTAGCTATAGTTGCCATGTTGTACAATTGCCGTTAAATATTGACTCATACTTAACTATTAAGGCCGGGACTTAAGAATTAGAAAAAGTGAAACAGTGAATTTTCAAAGGTAAATGATACAGGTTTCCTTTTGAAAATGGAGAGTTTTTTCCTAAATATATTATTATGAATAATAGAGAATGTTACATAATATGAAAGAATGTTTATTTGAATTGTTAAATATGCAAGTACTTTTCATTTCTATCATGTATCTTTATACTATATTTTTAATGTTGCATAAATCTTTTACTATTGTATCTTTACATTTTTAGGTGGTAAAAAGGTTGGCATTAATCCTAAAATTAATAATTTAATGCCAGGATATGAAGTTGCAAAGTATGATCTTATATGGATTTGTGATAGTGGAATAAGAGGTGAGGTTTTTTTCTTATTTATCTTATGAAACTATTAATTTGAAGAAAAATACTAAAAGCAATCTGCAGATACATTCATGAGTTCTTTTTATTTGCCTGAAAGAGTAATTTATTTCATCATTTCATGGTGATACATCCAGTTAATGCTTACTAAGATTTTGATTTTTTTCATCCTAAACTAGAATGTTGCATGTATTAAAATGTTTTCATTTTGAAGAGAAAATTTCAACCATTAAATTAAAAATGGTCGTGGTTCATTATATAATCTACAAGCTTTCCCATGGGTGTAACTTTTCCCTTGTTTGCCTGACACTTACCTTTAATGTGTTTCGGCTTGCGTAATACACTGTCTCGCACAGGGACAGAAATTAATAGGTGCATATTTTATTAGAACACGTACACTTACCAGACTATACGCATGACTTTTTACTTAAATGATTTTAGCAAGAAGCCTTTCATATACTGAAATTATAACTTGGGTTTGTGAACACTTATAATAGTTTCAGTGTTCTATAATATTTTGTTATATTCTAATTGCCTTAAGTTTCTTAACCCCAATACTATTCACATCTTGGGCTTTGTTGTGGGAGCTGTCTTCTAGGATGTTTAGCAGCATCTCTGGTATCTACCCATGCGATGCCAGTAGTATCCCCTTCTCAGTAGTAAAAGCAAAAATATCTTCAGATGTTGCCAGATGTCCCCTGTGGGGCAGAATTGCCCCCAGTTGAGAAGCGCTGACCTAGAATGAGTATTTAAAGTCCAAATACAACTTCTCTTTATATAGTAGATTTAGTTCTTAAAGACTTGGAGGAAATGAAAAATAAAGTCATGTAAAAATGATATGAGATGTTTGCTATTTAAAGATTGGGCAATAATTTAAATATTTTGTCAGCTTAAAATGCAAATTAGAAAATGAACATAAGCGTCGCACTCCTATGAGTTAATCAGGACTATTACAAATCTATCAACTCCTGGTCAGAGATGATGTTCCTTCTTCATATTTGCTATCTTCAATTATTCACTATCATATGTTTTTCAGTGTACAGATCTCTGTTCAATATAATCACATTCCATTCCGGTGTGCAAATCTGATACTCGCAGAGAAAGTAGTCTCATCTCCTATGATTGGAGAGTAGAGAAGCCAGCACGAGAACTGAGGTCCTTTTACCTCTGCTCCTGAACCTTTTCCACTAGGACACATTGTCCTTACTCCAATTTAGAAGTTCCGACAGGGGGGTAATCTTTTACTAAGTATATTCTGCCTCTGGTACATAGTAGGTATATACTTTTCTTTTGTTTTCTTTTTTTTTTTTTTTTGAGATGGAATCTTGCTCTGTCGCCCAGGCTGGAGCACAGTGGCGCGATCTCGGCTCACTGCAAGCTCCGCCTCCCGGGTTCACGCCATTCTCCTGCCTCAGCCTCCCAAGTAGCTGGGATTACAGGCGCCCGCCACCTCGCCCGGCTAATTTTTTGTATTTTTAGTAGAGACGGGGTTTCACTGTGTTAGCCGGGATGGTCTCGATCTCCTGACCTCATGATCCACCCACCTTGGCCTCCCAAAGTGTTGGGATTATAGGCATGAACCACTGCGCCTGGTATATACTTTTCAAAGTATATTCTGCCTCTGGTACATAGTAGGTATATACTGGGCTAAAAAATGTATGAATTAGCTTTCAAGAATCAGGCCCTTTTGAAATTTTGTATTCTCCTCAGAAAGGTGGTGGAGATTCATTTTATTAGAGCCATATGTTTAAAATAATGTTTTTATTAAGAATTTAATAACAATTCACCAAATATATTTTATATTAGTGGGCATTCTACTAAAAAGAAATTTTCTTTTCTCCCCCTCTCTGCCTTTTTTTAAAATTGTAGTAATTCCAGATACACTGACTGACATGGTGAATCAAATGACAGAAAAAGTAGGCTTGGTTCACGGGCTGCCTTACGTGGCAGACAGACAGGGCTTTGCTGCCACCTTAGAGCAGGTGAGTATGGTGGTTATAAATCATGTTCGTGGTATCAGCCCCCTCATCTCCCAGAAGCTTGAGGCTATGGGAGCAAGAATTAGGTATCTCAAGTTAACTGTATTAAGTCCATTTCGGAACCTGCTATGTTCTAGAAGCCCTGAGTTGAGAGCAGCTGTTTTCATTAGTGAGGAAATTCTTGGGCCCCTGACTGTACCCTGGCAGTGAACAGCTGTGCTCAGGAAATGCCTGTGGTCTTACTGCCAGCTGAACAGTCTAACCTCCTGCCTTGTAGTATTCACTTCCAGTTCTAGAGTTCAGTTCTTCATATTGTTCTTTCAAACGTTCAATCTGAAAAGAATCACTGCCCCCGGCCTTTTTTTTTTTTTTTTGACGGAGTCTTGCTGTGTTGCCCATGCTGGAGTGCAGTGGCGTGATCTCGGCTCACTGAAACCTCCATTTCCCAGGTTCAAACGATTATTCTGCCTCAGCCTCCCAAGTAGCTGGGATTTCAGGTGTGCTACCACGCCTGGCTAACTTTTGTATTTTTAGTAGAAATGGGGTTTCACCATGTTGGCCAGGCTGGTCTCAAACTCCTGACCTCAAGTGATCCGCCTGCCTCAGCCCTCCCGAAATGCTGGGATTAAAGGCATGAGCCACTGCTCCCAGCCCTGAAAAGAATCTTTTTAAAATATCACAAAGTATTTCAAATATACAGAAAAGAAAATTTATTCATACAAGTCCTTATAAAACCCATTTGATGTCCTTTTAAAACATATTTCTAATAATTGTCTGAGAAAGTTATGTTTTCATTTTATTTTTTCTCCACCTTAGAAATAGTAACATGCATAGGAAACTATAAATAATGGAAAAGTATAAGATGCAAAAAAACAAAAACCAACAACCTAGAACCCTAACAGTTACAGGAAGTTTCTGGATTTTTTGGGAGTTTTTTGTTTTTTGGGGGTTTTTTTGGTTTTTTTTGAGACGGAGTCTCGCTCTGTCACCCGGGCTGGAGTGTAGTGGCGCTATCTCGGCTCACTGCAAGCTCTGCCTCCCGGGTTGACACCATTCTCCTGCCTCAGCCTCCTGAGTAGCTGGGACTACATGTGCCTGCCACCATGCCCGGCTAATTTTTTGTATTTTTGATAGAGACAGGGTTTCACTGTGTTGGCCAGGATGGTCTTAATCTCCTGACCTCATGATCTGCCCTCCTCAGCCTCCCAAAGTGCTGGGATTACAGGCGTGAGCCACCGCGCCCAGCCAGAAGTTTCTGTCTTTAAAAATAAAGGTTAAATCATTTGGGCACTTTGGAGTCTTTATTTCCCCCCCCTCCCTTCTGGGCTCTTTAGAAAACATTGTTGAGATAGTATTCTAAAAGTAATCTATATCTTATTTTTGTGACTTTGTAAGCTTTTCCCATATCATTAATAGCTTTTTTATTGGCTGTATTGTAGGCTATCCTGCGTGTGTCCTATGCTTGAGTTAATCATTCCTGTACTGTTAAACATTTGGGAGGAAAAATTTTTTGTAATGTTACAAGGACAGATACATGATTTCAGTCTTTAAATATGTCAACTTGCTCTTAAGCATATCTGCATTTATATTCTCTTGAATTGCAGTCTTATGATTGCCACATATCTGAGGGGGTAAAGGTACATTGTGGGAACTTGCGTGTGACCTTTGGCAATTTGAACTGTGAGCTCTTTCTTAATATTGCCTGTAAATGTATTTGTTCTACTGCAAGAAATTGTTAGTCTTAAATGCCAGAATCTTTGTTTAGAAAAAGAAACTGAGTAGCCGCTTTAAAATAAAATACAATCTATTCTAATATACCAAATTGTATTTTTGTCTTAGAAATACCCAAATTGGTATAGATGTCAATAACATCTCCATGATGTATATGTCAATAAACATCTCCCAAAATACACCCATCCCCTTAGTGTAGGTTTAATCTCTGGCAGTCACTCTGCCATACTTAGAATGAATCATTCTCAGCTGTAAAGAAATCCTGGGTGCATTCAGCTCAGTGACTAACAGCTCATTCCTAAGACCTCAGTAACTGCTAAGGAATTACGATGTGTGCCTCTGTTCTTAGAAGCCAGGTTCGATTCAGTCCTACCAACACTAGGACTTCACTGGAGTCTGGGTTCAGGGTAGGTAGCAAGAATCATAATCTTAATTGCCCCTTAGAATTGTCTTGCGCTGCACTGTGTGTGTAACTCCAGACATTGAGAAAGATCACTACTGTTTATTTCAGGCTAATTAGAAAAGGCGACATATCTGAGGTGTAAATAATAAATAGGATTTTGTGTCTGCTAAGTAGGGTAATAACAGTCCTTTTCTACCATTGATTTATCAGCTTATGTATCTTACGACTTCAGAGTATATGTAGAGAAATGGCAGTAGGGGATGAGAGAATTTTAGTATCCCCCTTATGAAAAATACATTGAAAAAAATGGGGAAATTGGGAAGAGTCTTAGTGACTAAGGGAGAGGGAGCAGCTAGCTACAAAAGGATGCAAGAAAAGGAATTAAGAAATAGGATTGTGTCCCTTCCCCCCCAAAAAAAGAAATAGGATCGTCCTGAAGGTTGATAGACCTATGGGTGGTATGTGTATGCATGTATGTATATATAAACACATATATGTAACATACAAATATGTATATTGATCCAAGTAAACAAAGTAGATGTGTGTGTATATTTACATGAACACCCTAAAAATAAGATACATTCAATATTTGTTCATCTTTTGTATGTCAATGAGTGATATTTTTACCCTATTTTGTCTCTAAATTGTTTTATTTGGATGCATTTTTAGATTACTAAGTGTGCTTGCACTATGAAAGCAATATTGTATACCACTTTGTATTCAGGTAGTTTACATAAGAATAATAGGATATTCATTCAATCATACTTTTAAAAAACATTGGGAAAAACAGTTCGTAAACACCATACTTTTAATGTGAAATTCTAATTGTACACATTTGTGGTTTTTTGGGCAGGTATATTTTGGAACTTCACATCCAAGATACTATATCTCTGCCAATGTAACTGGCTTCAAATGTGTGACAGGAATGTCTTGTTTAATGAGAAAAGACGTGTTAGATCAAGCAGGAGGACTTATAGCTTTTGCTCAGTACATTGCCGAAGATTACTTTATGGCCAAAGCGATAGCTGACCGGTAAGAACTAAATGAAGCCATAGTGTTTTTATTACATAACTTCTGTTGGTTTATTCTTTTTGTTCAACCTGTAGATTAGGGCTTTTTAATTTAATTTTATTTTTTTGCTAGTAAGTACAGAATAGGTCAATTTGAATTTTTTTATTTTTGTTTTTGAGACAGAGTCTTGCTCTGTCACCTGGGCTGGAGTGCAGTGGCGCAATCTTGGCTCACTGTAGCCTCTGCCTCCTGGATTCAAGTGATTCTCGTGCATCAGCCACCAGAGTAGCTGGGACTACAGGCATGTACCAGCACGCACAGCTAATTTTTTTATTTTTAGTAGAGATGGGGTTTCTTTGTGTTGGCCAGGCTGGTCTTGAACTTCTGACCTCAAGTGATCTGCCCACCTTGACCTCCCAAAGTGCTGGGATTACAGGTATGAGCCACCACACCCAGCAGATCAATAATTTTAGAGAGTAATTCATATTCTAATTATAGAATTGTAGGTATGTACTAATGAAGAAAGTAAATGTTCTGATTCCTCTGCATTTTTCAAGTTAATGTGTTTTAAAGTGATTAAAAGGAAGTTTCTTTGTGATTAGAATTTTTACTGTATAGATATAAATTTCTGTGTTTTAGAAGAGTTAAAACTATCAGTTATTTTTATTTATTAAAAATAAACCAGTAGGTGAAAATTTAAAGACTATCATTTCAAAATTTGAAATTTGTCAGTGAATTATACAATACTTTGCTAAGAAGCCACTGAAAAATTCATATGACTGACTTAGCATTTCTGTATCACAAGATACTTGTTTTGTTTTTTTTTTGAAGCAGTCTCTCCCTGATGCCCAAGCTGGAGTGCAGTGGCACAATCTCGGCTCACTGCAACCTCCACCTCCTGGGTTCAAACGAGTCTCCTGCCTCAGCCTCCCAAGTAGCTGGGATTATAGGCGCCCGCCACCACGCTCAGCTACTTTTGTGTGTGTGTTAGTAGAGGCGGGGTTTCACCATTTTGGCCAGGCTAGTCTTGAACTCCTGACCTCGCGATCTGCCCGCCTCGGCCTCGCAAAGTGCTGGGATTACAGGCGTGAGCCACGGCACCCAACCTAAAATACTTGTTTTTAAAGGGGATCACTGCCTTGTGTGAGAATTTTTTTTTAATTTTAAAAAAACTAAAGTGTGTTTTAAATAAAAATTCTGTCGTGATTGTGTTAATGTGGTTCATGGTTTCCTGGTGTCTCCCATGAGACCCATAATGCCACTTTCTGTTTACATGTCTTGTTGAATATTCACACAACTTTGTTTGTTGTTTGGTTAGTAGTCATCAGAGACTCATCTATTAAATATGGAACCTCTCCATTGTTTTTCCAAATGACTGCATTTTAAGTTTTTTAAACTGTAAAGTAAGGAGGGTACAATTCTAGTTCTTAGATGGTGCTGTCATGGTCTAGCGTAATTGCTGAAACATCCATACGTATGGTAGACCTTAAGTAGTGTGCTAATCCTGAAAGCTGGGCTCACCCTCCATCCCGGCAATTGCCTGGTCTTTATAATGATTACTGAATGCATAACCAGTTACGCTTGCATGTGTTCATCATAACTTACTTTCTAATTGTCTTAATTTTCAGAGGTTGGAGGTTTGCAATGTCCACTCAAGTTGCAATGCAAAACTCTGGCTCATATTCAATTTCTCAGTTTCAATCCAGAATGATCAGGTAAATCAACTGTTTTCTTTTTATACTTCGTTAAAAGGAAAGGTGGGGTGGGGGGGTTAGTAATTTTTACAGGTTTAATGTAGTTAAATAAGTATACCTAAAGGTTAGATTTTTGTTTAGTTCCCGAAAATAGAGTTTAACTTCTGTGTTTAAGATAAATTTAATGTCTAAATATGTTTTATTTTCTGTATAACACTGAAAGCACTCAATAGAGAGATGTTGAGACTGAATTTTTTAATACGCTGATCTCTATTTTCTAACTTTCTATACTGATTAAATTTTATAATCTGTATTCATCAGAGCGTAGGCCATACAAATGAATTTATAGACATTTTTCTTTGACATCCTAGACAAAAATAGAAAAGAGAGTCATTAAAAAAAAATGTAGGTTGTGTGTGGTGCTTCACACCTGTAATCTCAGCGCTTTGGAAGGCCAAGGCGAGAGGATTGCTTGAGCCCAGGAGTTCGAGACCAGCCTGGGCAAAATGGATGAAACCCTGACTCTACAAAAAATGAAAAATTAGCCAAGTATGGTTTTCATGTGCACCTGTGGTCCCAGCTACTTGGTGGGGATAAGGTGGGAGGATCACTTGAGCCTGGGAGATTGAAGCTACAGTGTGTGCCACTGCAATCCGGCCTGGGTGACAGAGCAGAACCCCATCTCAAGTAAAAAAAAAAAAAAAAAAAAGAGTTTAAAAAGAATGGCCTTTCTATCACAAGGTAAAAAACTGATTATTTGGGGGAGAAAAAAATGGATTTGTCTTGTAACCAGGATGTTGTTTTAAAGAAAATGCTTTTTGTTTTTCTAGGTGGACCAAACTACGAATTAACATGCTTCCTGCTACGATAATTTGTGAGCCAATTTCAGAATGCTTTGTTGCCAGTTTAATTATTGGCTGGGCAGCCCACCATGTATTCAGATGGGATATTATGGTATTTTTCATGTGTCATTGCCTGGCATGGTTTATATTTGACTACATTCAACTCAGGGGTGTCCAGGTATGTGGATAGGCGTGAAAAGGTTGGCAGTCACTTGGTGGAACTAGAACTATTTGAATTTAGAAAAAGTTGAAGAAAATCTATCTGAGCCATTCTTCAGCTTCCCATTGTAGGTTAGTCTCAGGTTTGAACATCAGTTTCTCTAGTGGGATGTTGACACAAAACTTAAGTTGATTTGCAACTTTCTGTTGGTTATATAATCACTTTTATTAAGGTTCCAAAAACATGAAGTTAATTAAATCAGTGAGTATTCAAACTAATCATACATTAAGATAGCAGTTATTTTCATGCGTCTTCTAGTAACAGTTGGCGTTTTCTTGAATGGTATAACATGGCAGTTAAATTACATAAGGAAGCAGACTGGATTTTACATAGTATACTTAGAAAAGTGAAATGCAATTTTTTTTAGCCATGTCTTTAGTTTGACAGTGAGTGAAATTTAAAAAAATGTTTTTCCATTCGTAGGGTGGCACACTGTGTTTTTCAAAACTTGATTATGCAGTCGCCTGGTTCATCCGCGAATCCATGACAATATACATTTTTTTGTCTGCATTATGGGACCCAACTATAAGCTGGAGAACTGGTCGCTACAGATTACGCTGTGGGGGTACAGCAGAGGAAATCCTAGATGTATAACTACAGCTTTGTGACTGTATATAAAGGAAAAAAGAGAAGTATTATAAATTATGTTTATATAAATGCTTTTAAAGATCTACCTTCTGTAGTTTTATCACATGTATGTTTTGGTATCTGTTCTTTAATTTATTTTGCATGGCACTTGCATCTGTGAAAAAAAAAAAAAAAAACACATCTGTAGTCTTGGCCAAATGATACACTTTATTTTGTGGAAGTAGAGAATCAAGAGAATTGGTTCTAGGAACCTGGGTTTGTTCTTCATTGTTGTTTATTTTTTTAAAATAAATAAATATATATATAGATGCTCTGCAACAAACACTATGACAGTATCCTTCAGTAGAGAAAGTTTCTTATTTGTGAGTACACTCTTTTAGAACATTTACGGGTGGGATGGCAGCAGCTTTGCTTTAGGGTTTAGAAGAGACTAGAAGGAATGACTATTCATGTCCAAAGTGAATGGTTTAGTGCAGTGAACAACACACGGCGAGGTACTAACTGAGAAACTTTTTCATGCTTTATGCCTACCTCTTGTAGTTGTTGCAGAGCAAATATAAATTGTAATAAGGTAGCTAGGCCTTGCAGAAACAAACAGAAAAACTTAAAAAAATAAATAAATAAAAGAGCTAGAGTCTAGTATTTATATGAATCTGTGAGAGATATTTTGGTCTCACTGCAATGAACCAAAAGGGGCTGAGTTTGGTTTTTAATTGTAGCCATGTATTGAAGGCATCTTTTTGACCAACTCTTGTTGGTTCTGTCTTGAACCATTGTTAATCACTGTGCTGTAATTAGTATAGCTAAATCTTTTCCTTCCTTGCTCCTGCCCCAGCCCACCCCATCTTCCCTTAACATTTTTTCGGGGGGGGGGGTTGGGAGTGGTTTTGTTTTAGTGTGAGTGGATGTTTTGATAGTTGTAAGGAAAAAATGCATTTCAGACACATTTCACACATGAGCTATTTTCTTACACAGTATGTCTTATTGTTAATAAGAATGTAATTTCATGATACAAGTATTTAATATCTTTTTTAAGTCAGTAAATATTCTAGCCATCAATAAATAAATTGCAGTAGAGTATTAAGAGGGGATAAGATGAGTTTACTCTTAAAATTAATCAGTATCAAACTAAGTCTACTGTGTGTGTTTGTTTTTTTTTTTTTTTTTTTTTTTTTCTTTACTATTATAGTTAGTCTAGTCTTATTTAAATTGGATTTTTGTATTCCAGTTTATATGACAAAATAGACTAGATCAGTGCTGGTTGTAAATGCATGCTGTACCCCACTGTTTTCTCCCCATCATGCCGCTAAACTTGCTCACCAGGTTGTGCTTAACTTGTGGTGAACTGGACTTGTTTTTGTTTTGTTTTTGTTTTTGTTTTTTTTAAAAAAAAAAAAAAAACAAAAATGTAAGGGACAGTGCATAAGCCTTTTCTTTGTTTAGTAGTGGTGTTTTGCTTTTTCTTCAGGATTGGATGGCATGTTGTCCATAGGAATGCCTACTGCAGGGCTAATACTGGCAATATGGCAGCTGTAAATTCTGAGTTACTACAGTCTCCATGTCAAAGCATAATGTGTAGCATATTAGCAATAACTACATATTCATAGAAAACACTTTTCACTCTACTGAGCCAATTCATTTAATTGTCAAATGTCTATATCCATGGTTTAAATGGCAACATATCTATAAGTGTGTATACACATTGTATTTAAGCTTTTCTCTGGGCCAAACTGCTTCGTCCTTTTTTCTTCCTTTTTTTTTTTTTTTTTTTTTTTTTTAGCCTTATGATGAATTTGTTTGAAGGGCATTTTCTTTATGAACAAAGGCTTGGATGCATATTCCTTTCTTTCTGTGAATGGGAATTGTTCCCTGAGGAAAGTTGCACAGTTAAAACCAGTCTGGTTGTGACCCACTACATGTTTTGTTTTTAATCACTATGACCTGAGTTGAACTTTGCTCACCATGTTTGTACTTGTTGGTCTGTTTAATGAAGTTTGGTTGATGCCATCCTTTGCACTGCCGAAGTGTAAACTTGTGTATTACTTAGCTTTCTGCTGATCTCATTATGGACAGTGTAACAACAAAACCAAAATGGCTGGACAGACTTCTTGTGTTTTGTAAATATAAAATAGGACAGTTCTGTAGGTTTGTTCAGTGTGCTAGTGGAGTATTTCCTTAATGTAAAGCTTCACTTAAGCAGAGTGGTTCTTTGTTTAGCAAGCTTGGAGTGATGATAAAATGGTAAGAAATAATATAAATGTTGAAGAAAGCATCACAACAGAACTATAGGAGTCTAAATTTAATAAATAATCTTTAAAAAAAAAACATTGTCTAGAATATATACCATGTTTTATTATTTAAAATCATTGTCTTAAATGTTTGTTCAAAAAATAAAAATTTGAATACAATCAAAACGTTAGCAGTAGTATATTTTTTTTGTTCTTTTCTTCTATATTTTTATAAATAGCATGTTCCAGCATTCACATCAGAAGTATTAGAAGAGTTCTGTCAAGTATTCCTTTTGAAATCTTCCTTTCACTTGAGCCATAGGTAAAATGAATAAGGACATAGGCAGTCCTGTGACTTAAGTATGTCTTTTCTACCTTGGTTGGCTGTTAAAATCACCTGGAGAACTTGTAAAAATATATATATATACACACATACACATACACCCTGGACCCTGTACACCACAGACACACGCACACACACACCCTGGGCCCTGCCCACATAGATTTTGGTGTAATCATTCTGGGTGAGGCCTGAGCTCTTCTACCTGTGATTCTACTGTGAGAATGGCTGGCTTGTAATGACCTTCAGAAAAGAGCCAGTGGTCCTTTGGGCCCCTCTTCCCCAGGCTCACAACTTGAACTCAGCCTTTTAGATCTTACCACTCTAATGGCTAGGAAAGGTAAATCCAAAGGAAGGAATGGAATGGCATTATTACTTGAGACCCAGATGGGAGATGAACCTTACGTGCTTTCCAAGGCCAGGTCCCTCCCAAGCTGGAGGCCTTCACAGGCCTGTTTTACCACCATCCCATGAGAAAAGAATGTTCTTAACTGGAGAACAGATCTGGGGTAGAAAGAATCTGCTATCAGCTGAATATCTTAGTCTCTCCATAGCTCATATGTTGAAACCTAATCCCCAATGTGAGGAGGGTCTTTCAAGGTGATCAGAGCCCTCAGGATTGATGCTTATAAAGGAAACCCCAGAGAGCTTACTTGCCTCTTCCGCCACGTGAGGATACAGCAAAAAGGTGAACAGCTATGAACCGGGAAGTCCGCTTTTACTAGCCACTGAATCTGCCAGGGCCTTGATCTTAAACTTTCCAGTCTATGGTATTCTGTTACAGGAGCCATAAGAAACTAAGACACAATCTAAAAGGGATCTGGCCCAGTAAACAAACTGATTCCTTCTCATTTGTGTACTTCTAACCCTACAGTTTAAGAAATGATCAACACAAAAGTTGATCAGTATTAGAATTTCATAGCTAGGTGGATATTGAAGATCCCTCACCCTTATTTTAGAATGAAGCTGAGACACCCACGATGAGAGCTGTGATCATAGGGTTAGGTAGACATGGCGCTGGTGGCAGAGCTGGGAGTAGCCCCTCTATCTGGTCTCAATGTGGTATATTTCTCCACTGGATCACATTGTTTAAATTTATGCCTACACTAGCTTTAAAATTTACCTAGACCTTAAGGGGGAAAGAATATCACGGTTTTAATAACCATCTGTATCCTAACTCTCAAAAATTGTTCTAGAGAACCAGATTCAAACCTGTAGAACAAGAATGTAAATTACTATAAAGCTCATTTAAAGTGAAATGCTTTACATACATGATTGATAGAGAAGATTAATACATACCACAAGACTGTGTTCATGAGAATGAAAATAGTTCAGACCTTTCCTTCTGAAGTTTATCAGGATCTAGTACTTGAATTATTCATTTATTCATTTAAGTTATAGTTTATGACCACATCAACTTCATTTCGGTGAAAAGAAAGCAAACATCACAAAATGGTGAGCACCTATCTCTGCAAAGCTGCAAGGATATGTGTTTAGTTGGATAATTTGCTTTAAAAATATGGATACCTAGAAGAAAGTTTAAAGTCACTATCTTAGTATTTTCTAAAAACAAAAATACATATCTTTAAGGGATCCCTAAGCAGCTAGTTGCCTAAGAACCAAAATGTGCTAAGCCTTTCACATGGCCCCTCCTCAGTTCCGGGAGAAATTGGCAGAGACTGTGGGTGTCTGGAATGGTTTCATGTGGTGGTGCTGTTTAGACTAATCATCATTTAGACATCCATGCTAATAGCATGGACTTGTAATTATCTAATTTAAACAATTTAGGGATATCATTTATTTCTCTACAGGACTGAGAGTGTCTGCGCCCCTCCCCTGCTGCGTGCACACCTCCCATTGCGGTCATGCCACCTTTGTTTCCCAACCCTTGTCACCAGCCATGAAACCTCTATCATTTCCCCTCATGACTGACCAACACCAGGCCAGCCTAAGGAACATGCTGGAGAAATCCAGCAGACTATTTATTGTGCAGCTCTGGAGCAGGGGAAAGGAGTGGGTTAGAAGTGGTGACTTGGGAGTAATTTCCCTAGAGGTGATGGCTGAGACAGTGACTATAACCAAAGTCAAAGTGTCAGCGGTTGACAACTAAGGACAGAATCTTGGGGACCTATTTAGAGAGACAATGGAATAAAAACATCTAGGAAAAGAGGCTGCCAGACCTGGTGTTCAAATGAGCTTTTTGGTAGCTATGGGACTTTGGGAAGCTTCCTTCATCTTTCTGAGCCAAGCTGTCTTACCATGTAGAATGGAGATATTACAGCACCTTCTGAGGTGGTAGAGATGATTCGACCAGGTCATGTACATAAGCATAGGGACAGTTAGTGCCTTTTTCCTCCAAAAGAAGAAAGAAATAGTAAAAGGAGTGCCACAGTAACCTTGGAAAGAGAGATTTCAAGAAGGAAGTGGTCACGGGAGGAACCGTTGACTGTAAAGGATGGGAAGAGGCTGGTAAACTCGGGGGCAGGAAACTCCCCGTAGAGTTACCAGCGTAGGTCTCCGCCATAGTGAA